CACAGCAGGACCTCCAACACTATATAACAACATTTGAGGTTCTTACCCTGCATGACAACAGAAGAAAAAGGCCACCTTGTGAATATGGTAACTTCCTTGACTTTCTAAACCTTACACCCTATCTTTCTTTCCATTCTAAAACAACAAGGTAACACAATCTGCCTCGCAATATCACTCCCGTCCCAGTAAACCCATTAAAGAGCAGTCGCTCATCCGCACGGTTCATTTGTATGCAGACATTCCATTAATGTGTCTTTGCATCAAATCGATCAAGATAACCACAGAGGGGAGAGGAAAAACAGATGGATGGAAAATGATTATGTTATGCCTGAAGAGGGAGTGGGTATGAAAGTTGTGATATGAAAGAGAAAAGGGAGAAACCAGATGAAAATAGCCTCAAAGTGTGGAGGAGCGTGACCAGGAAGCTCATAATGTTGTTTGTATTTTGCTTTAATGTGCATCAGAAAGAGTCATTATACCCTGACTATTGTGCCTGTCCATTACTGTATATGCCAAAGGACCCTAGTATTTGAAATCACAGCTGAGGAGCACACTTCTCAAGACTTATTCTGTCCATTTGATCTCTGTTTTACAACCAAACATAAATTTGTATTTTGGAAGAGTTTATTTTTTGCTGAGTCTCTGAGATCAGAGAAATTAGTCATGTTGATATTGTGACTGTTTGACACATTGTTTGCCCACACTACAGCTATTGCACATGTTTTGTATTAAGTTTCTCCATAATTTGCAACACTTACCCCACTCATTCATTCTTTGTAGTTTCTCTTTTTTTCATATCACTGTATCATCCTTTCCTCTTCTTTTACTCTACCTTGCATTCATTCCAAAATGTTTAATTCTTTTGGAGTGTGTGCAGGTCTCAGACTTTCTGACTCCACTGATCAATAATGAAAGCTGGATCGCATCAAATGACCCTGAACAGAAACAGAGCTCAGCTGGTGAATTTAGCCAAGCACAGAGCCATTATTGGACAAGGTTGTTTTCAGTGGCATCCTTGTTAACTCCACAATCCTGCATCAGTCGCTTGTCCGTCTAATTTATCCTTCTTAATCCTGACAATGTCTTGACATGATGCAGTCAGTTAGAATAACATATTATATTAATGGCTACTTTATTATCTTTTAGCATGACACCTATTTTGTATGATTTTATGTACTTTAAATGTTGCATGTATTATGCCTTTATCTATAAACCTTCCATTATTCCAGCTGCATCTGCTTCAGCAGAGAGCATTATGAATAAAAGACACTCTCAGACCAGCCTGCCACATCTCACAGTTGTTTCAGCTGCTTTTGGATAATAGCCAGAGGCAGTCTAAATCTTAATATCACCCACATAAAGCTGAGTAAATCAATACATCTGCACCAGTTACTATAGAAACTTAAATGAATTCCAATTTGTACAGCTATTAATGGGTAATTTGGGATTTATATTTCATTGCCTGCAACTTCTCTTTGTTAAGTATTCCTCACACACTCTGGTGATGGGTAAAAATTAATTGGCTTCAGCTTAAGATCCATTTAAACTTGAACTGATTTCATACTTACATCTAGAAAGTCTTTGAAAATAAATGTCTCTTTACATCTGTGATTAGAAAACCAGACATTTCATTTGAAGGTAATACCACTGAGAGTAGTCCTTCATGTTGTTGCACTCTGCAGCAGCACAGTGTACTTTCATGTACTCCTTCTTTTCCAACACATTAAAGGTCACATATTATCCTCCATTTCAACCAGCTTAAATACATCTCAGAGCTCCTCAGAAAATCTCTGTGAAGTTTCTTGCCAAAAATCCACTACGCTCCTGTATTTTAGCATGCCTATAAACCCCTCATTTCAGCCCTGCTCAGAACAGGCTCTTTCTGTGTATATAGCTTTAAATCCATGTGAGCTGCGTTTTGACCACGCCTCTTCCTAGAATGGCTTGGACGACTCGGGGTTTCTGGCAACCATGCCCAATTGTTTACAGTAAAAAAAGGCAGACTCAGAGGGAATTAACACCTGGCTGTGGGAGTGTCACCCACCTGGGGGAGGGACTACTGCCTTCTGTGATGTCACAAAGGGAAAATCACCTTACAACCTGTCGGAGCACACTTTCTCTGAAAAGTGGAGCAGGCAAAAGAGGGAGAGGATGGACTTTGCTCATAATTAGGGGGTTTGTAGACAGACACATACTGCATGAATGATAGAAATACATGGTTAAGTATATTTTGCACAATCTGTGACCTTTAAGTAACATACTTTGAATATTTTAACACATATATCACAGGCAGCATAGTATGTGGGTGCCATTTCTATGTATCTATTAACTCTCTCTAGCTCCTGTGTTTGTTTGATTTCCTTTTTTGTTTGCTTCAATTTCATTAAAGTGCACATTAAAGGGCTCATCTTTAAAGTGCCAAACATATCTTGAGTGATGGAAACATTGCAGTCCTTGACGTTTTTGAGTCTTACTGTTAGACACCAGTGGGTGCTTGAAATTGAATCGAGCAAACTTTAGAAGCGACCTGTCAGAGATGATGTATTACTTGCAACAATAATGTGTGTATTGTTTAGTCTAACAGGACTAAAATCTATAGCTTTGTTAGCTGCTCAGTGATGCTGTAAAGCTCATTACAAGCTAGGAAACCTGATATACTGTTATGTGTGGGAGAACAAAGCAGCGGGGGCAGAGATTTGTTATTTGGGGAGCTATGGGGGGGCTGGGTTGTTTATAGTAGCTTATGAATTTTGACACTACAAACAATAACAAATTAAATTGTTTGAGCAAAACACAATTCAATTAAGTTGGATATATAATTAAAATGTTGTACTAAATGTGCAAGGAGAGCACAATTCATTATGTTTAACAAGATTTAAGAGCAAATGCATTCAAAAAGTACACAAGATTGATTACTGAAATTTTGAGCAATGATAACTAGCACTGACTGGACTTAGACTTAGATACCATGAATGTGGAAAGTGTTGCCATAGTTCTATCTTTTGATTTAGAGCCAAGTGGTGTACATGGCTCCTTGTATTTAAGATGAAATGATGCTCCTCTGGATTCTGAAATTAATCAGACGCACAAAAAAAAAAAACGTTGTTGGTGTCTTTCATAATCAAACACTGAGCAGCAGGGGGCGCTGGGCACCTAGTGGTAAGTGAAAGCGCCCCATGTACGGAGGCCCTGGTCCTCCAAGCGGACAGCCAGGGTTCAAATCTGACCTGTGGCTCCTTTCCTTCATGTTATTCCCCAATATCTCTCCCCCCGATTTCTGACTCTAAAAAAGAACACAGAGCAGCAGTGTTGAAAGCTTAAAATGCTAAAAATGCTCCTTTTTCCATCACAGAAGGTTTAATATCGAGGTTTACTTTCCTCTTTGTGAAAAGCATGTAAATCTTGTTACAAAACACCTCTCAGAAACTCACTTGCAGCTCGGTTAGAAGGCTTCATATCTTTGCACATGTTGTGTTTTGCTATCTGGCAGCTACATTATGCTGTTTGGAGGAATTAAATAAGGAGGCTACATCAGCAGCCCCTCTGTTGAACAACATAATTGTCCATTACTGTGTTGGCCTGACATCCCCATGTCTTCGTCTATTGCTCTGAATTGTGCACGAAAGACACTGCATGTGGAGCTTATTTAGACCCCTTCAGTGGTAATGGGATTAGAGCTACTGTACTCAAATTTAAAATGTGAATTCTCTGAGTAACCTTCATGCAACTTCTTAATTTAAAAAACCTCAGGAAATTATATTTCTTCTGTGCGTGGTGTTTAAAAAAAAAATGAAATAAACATAAATGTCATTGGTGGATGTTTGGATGTCATCGTAGCATCGAAATGGTGTTTTCATTTCCTCTGCAGCGCTTTACAAATCACACACAGTCACACAGTATTAGAACGGCACTATCTAGCAACACTGATAAAAGAAATATGGCTGTAATTCTAAGGCCACTAACTCTACTGCCGCGGTTATTGATTGTTAGAAGTTATTGCATTCTCCCCTCAGTGTTTCTCCCACAGATGGTCTGGTCATAATGAACCACTCTAACAAGCAGGATACCTCTGTGCTGCACTATCACAGGTCCTATGAGGCTATACGGAGGGACTCTGACATACATTTTTAATCTAATTGGCACAGAGAGGAGCCACGAGTGCAGATGAGATTTGATTTAGCGTCATATTTTGGCATGTAAACTGGCATAGTGTTTGGGTGGGGATAAATGGTTCTAATAGATTATTCAAAACCTGTTGAGTAGAAAGAAGTCCTGGAAAATAGTGAATAAGGAGGTTAAACATACTTCTTAAAATACTGTAAAGGTGTTTTGGTTTATTCATGCTCTTGGTTATTGCTTGACTAATCTTTAGTGTATGCATAGATGACAGACAGAGGGTAAAAAGCATCTGCGCTCCATTAACGATGTTATGTAAAATGAGATGACCCGAGCTATCTGCGTGTGTGTGTGTGTGTGTGTGTGTGTGTGTGTGTGTGTGTGTGTGTGTGTGTGTGTGTGTGTGTGTGTGTGTGTGTGTGTGTGTGTGTGTGTGTGTATGACTTGTAATCTGTCTCTACATCACTGTTGAGCAAGTGGCAGCAAAGATATTAAGAAGTCAACATCGAAACCACCCAGTTATTGGATACATTCATCACTGGGGCAGCATTTAATATTGCAGCAGATTTGTTTCTTTCTCTTTCTTTACCCTGATTTGATGTCACCAAGCATTGAAAAGAAACTAATTACACTTCGGGTCCGGCCTCACTGATCTGCTGTATGTGTTGAAGCTATTCAAAAGGCTCATTATGGTAATAACTCTGCAGCAGATTAGAAAGTTGAACACAGAGTCTTTTTTTTTTTTTTTACACATAGTGCATGAGGAGGCATCCATTTTCTTTCTTTCATTTATTCCACAGTGAGTGTGATGTCCAGTAGAGGGCAGCAGAGACAAATGAGATTGTTCAAATGGCATCTTTATATTCGTTTTTTCTCTCTTTCAGGGCCAAAGTGTTTCGGGGGAAGAAAGTCCTTGGGGACTACGACATCAAAGTGGAGCAGGTATATTGATTTTTTAAGAACTACAATACCCTTGAGTCATTTTTAAGAGGTTAAGAGGGCTTAGAAAGAGATTAAAGTGAACTGACACTTATAATGAAATTCAAAAGCTCATGCTGATTCTCAGGCTAATTTTACACAACATAAGACTCTGTAAGAGATGCCCTGCTGCTCTTTTGCTTATACAGAAAGTTTATGAATTCCTAGATTATTTTTCTTTTTAGATTATTGAACCTTTTGAATATTGGATGGATCACCATTACATTACATTTTTGACATGGTTATTGCATCACACTTTAGTTAAGCTCACCACTTTTAGAAGTCTTTAGGTATTAAGTAAAATGTTTTAGCTAGACAACTGGGACTAAAGTTTGTGTAGAAATGCAATCCAAGAGAATGAATCCTGCTAACTTTATTAAAACCCTGATGCCACCATTTTGATTTCAAGGGAAACATTTTGACAACCATGACTTGAATACTCATTAGGCTACATTTGCTTCAAATATAAATGGTTCATGGATTATAGAGTTCATTCAAAAATATGCTTCAACTTTGCTTCTAAACTTGGCCAATATTTGCTCATATGTAGGGCTGACCTTTAATTACCAGCAGAAACAGTGAAATTACCATAATTCTCACCTACACTTGTTCTATGTAGCCAATGCTAGCAAGCTAACAGGCTAAACTAAGGTGATAAACCCTGGTAAATATTTGCTCAAATGCATTTTTTCTCTCTAATGTACGTCACTTTGGATAAAAGTATCTGCTAAGTGAATTGTATAATTATTTTAAACCTACTGCTTATTACCAGCATATAGGTGATTCTCTGAATTCGGTGCACATTGGGTTCTCTGGTTACTGACAAAATATGCCACAAAAATTGTGTTTCTGAACATTGCATCTGGTGAAGGACTATTTGAACCTCTGAGAAAATACGTTTTCCCACCTTAGGCATGAAATCCCAAACATTATTAGGAATTTCTTTGTCACTTCGGTTGTTTTAAATTTAACCACGTAACGGGACAATTTGATTCCTGTATGAGTACAATTTAAAAACATATTCAAACTAATTCTTCCAGTGCCTTGGTAATCACCTGTCCCTTGTGTAAAATAACTTATTGTAAGTACATTTTATTTGATTCTAAATAATAATAATTTGACTGTCAAGTAGGATATGACAACTTAATGTACAAGCGGTCTTCATAAATCATGAAAATATACTTTAACATAAACATTAGATTAGGCTTTCGTATATTTTCAACTATAACTACTGAAATTGCCATGACTCTCAACTGGGCTTGTATTTATTACAAATTGGCCAAGGCTTACAGGCAAAACAAATGTAATGAATGCAGGTAAACCTTACCTGCATTCATTACATTTGTTTGCCAATGCTAGCAGTTAGCTCAAAGCACCAGAGTTATGCTAGCATTAGCAGTAGTAGTAGTTTCTTAACATATATAGTACTTGACACTACCTTTGTGTTGCATGTTTACCACATATAAATGTGATAAACCACACTTAATTACCACATTAACCCAGAATTGTTGCATTGTTGTACTTACTGTACATAGTGAAATGATAAAGTAAGAGTGTGTGACAGGTTTCATATTGGTTGAACCACCTAACCAGTAGGCTGTGTTTGCATTACTACTGTACTCACTGCTTTTCCAATGACTTTATTTTCTCTGGGGTTTCACACGGAACACTTTTGCACCGGAGAGAAGTTAACAGTTAAATTACAACCTCAAGCTTCACCACAGAAATAATAAAAAATAGGCACCAGAGGAGAAAGGAGTCAGCAGCTATGAGTCACAGCATTGTTTTAGTCATCTCTTTACACTGCTTATCGCATATTCCATTTATTAATTAGAAATGAATTATTCACTTACAATGTATTTTTGATTACTCTACAATTATTAAATCAAACTTGTAAATAAATGAATAGTTTTGTATTTTCTTGCGCAATTAAAGCAGTTTATATTCTTCTTTTTGCATATGGTAGAGAAGTTATTTCTTTAGGGCACTGACACATTTACAAAACTGACAGTATGATTGTACAGCACAATCCTCAATGTATTTTTTCATGAAGGTTTAATGTGTTTATCTTTTTAAACTTTCTTGTTTTCACTTTCAGGCTGAGTTCTCAGAGGTCAACCTGGTCTCCCATTCAAATGGCACCTGTAACGTGGACATGCAGGTCATTAGGAGCGGGACCAAAGTGGTCAGGTCAGTTCCCCGTACATTTTTGTATTTCTCATTACCCCTTGAGGTACCGAGCACACCAACCTGTAACTTAAGGTTTGAGCTTGAAACATCTCAGTCAACAGAATCATCACTCTGGCTCAAACCATCATGAACCCGCTCTTTTTCCACAGATTATCAGAAAGATACAAGCATGGTTTATAAGAACTTTTTTTTTTTTTTTAATACATTAATGGGTCCAGACATTGTTTTACTAGGAAAACTTTGTCATGCTACGCGGTTGACACAGCTATAATTCTGAAACAAATCCAGCTAGTACTGTCTGCAGTGGAAATGCAAAACAGATCTTGGGGTTAGAAACATGTACGGATTAGGTACAGCCCTCAAAGAGTATTACAATGTAGGTTTGATATTAAAAATGTGTCTTTAAGGCTAAATTCCTTGGAATATAAGTTACCATATACAAATCCTCAAACTTTCATATGACTCTTAGCTCAAAGCACACCCAAGAGATGACCCTGCGAAAAAAAGTACCAGCTTTGGACATTTGATCCTAACCAAAGATTTTAATAAAAATCAGACTTTACTCATTTGTCAATCCCACCCATAATGCTTCTGTACCATATTCAAGCATCACAAAGACTGTCAGTGAAATGAGACACTCAGGCTGCTCTTTAAAACAAGGAATGCAAGTGGTTACTTGTAAAACGTGATCAGTGCTGTAAAGGCAGAGGCGTTTCACCACAATGTTTCCCTCACTGACTTGGCGCAGTAGATGTGTGTACAAACATGTGAACTTACTGTAAACCAGACATCGCACGGACCCACTCACACACCACAGACCACACTGACACACACAGCTGTGACTGTAACTCCCATCGCTAACAACCAACAAAACGAACAGGAAATGAAGAAGTCAGCCTGAGTCTCACAATCAGCGACTCTCCCCTGTAATTACACTTTATGAGGGGTGGTGTGCACATGCCCACACACAAACAAAGTCAACATTAAGTATTGCCTAAGAAAGAGTCGGAATCTTTGATTCCTTATAGACATTTCTTTTGGTATAATGGCATCAGCTTTAATTAAACATGGACAGTTTGTGAGATAAATGACCATCATAATTGTCACTCTGTCCCGTTGTCCCCCTGTTTGACTTCATTGGAGGCTTCTCAGACCGGCTTAATGATCTACATTTATCTCCGTAATTGCACCGTCTCCATCGGTTTCAAGTCAAAGCACTGAATTTGCCTAACACCCTGAGAATTCAAGTTGCCAATTTTATTATTATTATTATTATGTCACAGCAGGGTCTTAAGCCTGTCTAATGTCTATTGTTATCCAATCTCACTTTTTACGCTGCAGCAATTTTACTGATTTTTCCATGGGGTAAGAAATAAGAGTGAAAAAAAGCAATGAAATATAACGCCATGACCTTTGAGGAATGAGGTAAAATTACACTGGAACAATATCGTTTAGCAAAGATTAGTGGAGCTGGAGCCTGCAGTCAGTGTGCCTAATGGTAAATGAGAGGAAGACACTTGGATCAATCCTCCTCATACAGTGCAGAAACAGCTAAATCAGCCCAAAGCAACACACAGGCTTCACACATGTCAAAGAAAAAACAGGTATTTTGAATTGAGTGGTTTCAATTGGTTGTTTCAAACTTCTTTTTGAGTTGTGATTCACCAGGGATCTGATTAAATCAATTTCCAGACTTGACCATGTAACCCAAGTTTAGTTCTTTGTGTGACTTTAAAATGTATTCTCCTGTCACTCTGTGTGGAAAGTGGGTAAGTATCCCCATCTCTTTGTTCAACTACTTCTGTTACACAAGTTACCTTGAAATATTTGATAGACAATGGTGGATGAGTCCTGCTGACTTTAGTTGTCCCTTTATCTTTATCATTTGACCTGTAAAATGTCCCCTTTCTTAGTTGTAAATTGAGTTCAGTGTGAATTAGCAAATGCTAGCAATCTCTCAAAGATAAAACAATATTAGGGTAACCAATCAAATTTGTTGGAATTATAGCATTGGTATGTTTTGGGTGTTAGCATGCAGCCCGACAAAGCTGCTACCACAAATGAAAACTTTGAATCTTGTCTCTAATGTCTATTGTTATCACACAAAGTGGTTAGTTTGTGTGGTTAGTTTGTGTGCCCGATGTACAGAGGCTGTAGTCATCGACACAGGCTGCTGGGTTCGATTGCGACTACTTTCCCCCCCGAATGTCATTCTGTAGTCTCCCGCCTGTCTCTTAAATAGAGGCCCAAAGAGCCCAAAAATAAATTTAAAAAAGAAGCAATTTTCAGAGTAAAGCTAGTTCAGATGATATGGTTTCTAATGCATCACACTGTAAGAGTCACAGCCATGATGATCTTTGCAGCCTTCTATCAGTAATAAAGACCATATAGTCACATTAATGGCTGTGTCTTCTCCTACACAGTCCTTTCTGGTTTCCTGGAGTGTCTGATTAGTATTCTCTGAGCATGAAGAGCTGGTGGTGTTCAGACACTGTGCCAGCGTTTTCTCTCTCTGTGTCTCTATTCTCTCACTCCTCCCTACATCTCTGTTTTTCTCTCTCTGTCTCTATTCTCACACCTCCGACACCTCTCTCTCTCTCTCTCTCTCTCTCTATCTGTCTCTTCTTTTCCTCACATTCCCGCACTCCAAAACACACACTCAGAGACAAAAGGCAAAATAACAGGAGTCACGCCCTATCACCATCAACCTTTCCCCTGAGCTGAACTGCAATGAACATTGTTTTTTGCCCTTCACACACGTGTCACAAATTTCACACGTGGGCTTGAAGCTGTGGTTTGAAGTGTTTTGCCTTATATAGACATATTAAAGTAAGAACACAAAAAAAGTTGCCGTAAACTTATTACCAACTTATTATACTTTTTAAAACCTCAATCTTAGAACCTTTTTTTATCTGACATTTAGCTGTTTTTGTTTACTTGATCAGTCAAGGTTGTGGTCACATCGTAAGGCTTGCTTTGACTTTTACTGGGAAATTAAAAAAGCTCTTCTGCACTATGTTGCCCCATTCTCTCCCACGTATTGTCACTCTCCTTAATTGTTTTTCTTTGTCCAAATCAGCTGACATCCTTGTTTGCCCAGCATAATAATTTGCAGTAGCTGCAAGCAGGCTTTATCTCTTGAACATAATAAACTAGGGGTCTGATGCTTATGTTCTTCTAGTAAGGAAACTGGGACAATACAGTCTTACAACCACTCAATGGGTTGAATACATCAAATAAAGACAATGAAGATAACTCACTGTCCCAATCATCTCTTCTCTGTTAATTACCTCCATCAAATGCATCGTACCAAAAGTTTTTGATGAGAAACGACAAATATTTTGTTTTTGATACCTTAATTCCAAGGTTACGCATTGCAGGTCACATGACCAATCAAGCCTGATGTATGCTTACCACATCAAGTGCTGTCAAACCATCATACACACTGTTTTTTGTGTCCATGTGCATTTGAAATGTTCTAATTCTGTTGACGTTAATGGGCAGATAAAACACTGAACTTTTAGGAGCTGCTGGTTCTTTAAGACTGAAGGAGTCACAAACAGAGGAGAAAGCCACCAATATGATTCATGATTCTGCGTCACCTCAGGCCCTATAAGCTTTGGTCCCAGAGGTAATTTAAGCATCAGAGAGATTCACTGTAGCGCAGTGACTTTGACTAACATAGGTTGTTCAGAACAAAAGTTGTACAGCTACTGGGAATTGTGCCCCAGAGATTTGTTTTTGTACCGTGTGTCCTGATATAGCATGTAGTGTGTTTCTCTAACTCTTATTGAAATTATGAATGGCCCTGGCAGTAGTGAACAACTCAGACTAAAATCCACCCTAGACTGCTTTTTATACAATACTATGAGCTTGACCCGTTCACTCCAGCTGCTCCCAGTAATCTGCGTACTGTCTTGTTAGTAATGCATTAAACATGGGAGGTCATCAATCTTTGAGCTACATTCACCACTCCATTAGGTTAAGAGTCCCACCAAGGTTTTTATCATCATTATCCCAGGTTAGAATCAAACTGAAAATAAAACAGAGCATGGCTGGCTTCTCCCAATTAGAAATAACTAAGGTTCTGCAAAATTTAGCAGGGGTTGTTTAATTTATTTTTTGAAGATGGTCAAATTTAAAACAGCACTCCATGTGGAAATAGGAGGTGAAGAAGAGGCAGTCTGGTCCGAGAGACAGTTTCAAACGTGCAGGTTTAACACAAAAAAATAGATAGAGTTTACCCTGGTGTTGATTGATGTTGTTTGATTTTACTGATTTTAATCTGATTTTTTAATACTACTAAAAAGGAAGCTAAATGTGTGCAGCACTGGAATCCAAGATAAATTCCCCTATGTGGACAATTAATCTAATGGTTGTAATTTTTGTAGAGGTTTTATGATTTCAATCTTTGTGTACATTTTACCCACTGAATGCTTCTTTATCCTTACGGGTGTGTCGGGTGTGTCAGCATGGATTTATCAATTTAAAAGAGTGCTTCATGAAAATCCTTCACACATTTTGATCTATTGTAGGATGAGACATAATGCCACTCATATGTCACTTCTTCTATTAGTCCAATGAGGTGTGTTGTGTGGCTAGCAATACGTTTTTTGCTGCATCAGCTTCCTCAGTGGAAAGACAAATATACAACCTTTCATTTGTGCCATTCCTTTTTTAAGGTTTGCCCTTTTTCCTGACATTCTGAGGTGACTGAATCCAGATTCATTATTCATAAAGAAAAGTGTTGTGTGTAGAACAACATAAACTCTTTAAGCAAATACTGGTTTTTACTCCTATTTCAAGGTTGTTGAACTATTTTTCTTTAATTTTTCTGCCGCTCTGACAACAGGTCTTTCAGGCCGGACTTTGTCTTGGTTCGCCAGCACGCCTTCAGCATGGCCCAGAATGAGGACTTCAGGAACCTGATCATCGGTCTGCAGTACGCAGGAGTCCCCTCAGTCAACTCTTTGGACACCATCTACAACCTCAGCGACAAACCGTGGGCTGTAAGACATTTCATCCAAAATGATTGACATCTGCAGCAAACTAAATCGTGTTTATTTGTACTATCCTGAGTATAACATGGATGTGGACAGGTTGCAGCTTTTCATTACATTTAAAATAATATAAGCTGGAGGTTTTTTTAATTCATTTAGTTCAATGTGTTTCCAGCTCAAGTTGAGTTTAAACACACTATGACTTGTATTACTACTATATGTGCATAATGCACCTGTTCTCTATCTCTGTAAATAAACACATTATACATATTAAACAACCCCTGTTTAAATTCCATTTAACGCTCCTTTGCACTTTTACTCACTTTCTATTCTTCTTCCTTCCCACTAGTTCTCCCAGCTGATCACTAATCAGAAGAGGCTGGGCTCAGATAAGTTTCCACTCATTGATCAGACTTTCTACCCCAACTACAAAGACATGGTAAGATTTTTTTTTATTACCCATTGTACACTACCCCTCAGCAAACTCACACATTCAAAACAGCAGCTTCACAATCAGCTGAAGTGTATTATTTATTATTTGGTATTAAGTAGCCGTTAAGTATTTGTATCAGAGAAGAGAAGCATTCTCTAAAAATGGTTGTTGTGAGTGTTGTCTGCAGATTACTGTTGTTTTTAGGATGACTCTCGGAAAATAAGAAATAACACTTAATACATTATTTTGTATTAATTTCCTATTCTCAATATCTCTAGAATAAATCATCTGCACTTCTCTTGAATTACTAATTATATTTGTTTAACAGAGCTGAGAATACGCTTTTTTCATACCTTTCTAAGAATTCTTGCACTTGATCTCCTGCAAAAGCCCTGATCCCCTCAGATCAATTCATTGATTACTAAATAATACTTTCGGGATGAAACGTCTTAACAGAAGAGTCAGAATTGTATATTTGAAGCATGCATTGAAATTACCAAAAGAGTTTTCAATAAGACAAAAAGTGTCTAGCCTAGTGGTAAGTGCGCGCACCCCGTGTACATTGGCCAAAGTCCTCCAAGGGGGTGACCCAAGTTTGAATCTGCCCTTCCCATCATTCCCCATTCTCTCTCTCTCCCCGGATTTCTGACTCTATCCACTGTCCTATCTCTAAATGTGGGTATGAAAAGCTCAAAAATATAAAACCTTAAAAAATATATTTTGAAATGCTATATTTTAATAAAACGTCTAAGCAAATCCTCATCCTGCAATTTACTTCCTATATTCACAGTGGTGAAAAATGTGGCATGTGAGAAATAGAGTATATACAGTAGGTCAAGTGTTATAAATGTTTACAGTGTGTACAGATTATTGTCATTTAGAAATGTTCTTAAGTTTACCCCACATGTGAGAAATATTCCCTCCCCCCCACCTCCCCAAGAATAAGTAGTTGTATCCCCTCCAACATCTCTCCAAGTACCTAAGTAATACAAATCTTATTTTGTTCCGTAACCGAAGTAGAAGAAGAAAGAGAAAGGGTCACATTTCTCCATTGAGACATTTTATGTACAATCTTTTTTGGTACATGGAAATAAAAAACTCTATTCAGACAGAAACAGAGACATAAATACAAACCCAAACAATTCTTTCAGTATAAAACAAACATGAGATTGTTTGATAATGCTTACATACAGCCGTACAGTTAAGATGCGTTATTATCACACCAGTCAGTCTTAGTTAACACATTTGAAAGTAGTATGTTTCCAAAACATCATGCACATTTTTATCTTTGAATAGTTTTTTTTTTTTTTTTTTTTTTTTTTTTATGTAGAAGGCAGTGTGTTATAATGCTTTTTAATCTGTGTGACTTCACTGAAGTAGTCTAGTAACAACACAGGGCTCAATTATGATTTGGGTCTTGTAATTATATAAAATAATGCCTAAAAACAACAATAACTATTCATTTCAGCTCATTGATGTATATGTTTTTTTTCTTTTTCTGGTTAAATTTAGGCTAAAATGTAATTTTTTCATTCCTTGAAAGTTGAGGATAGTCCACCTCCTGGTGCGGAATTGAACCGTGTCCTGTTACATCATTTCCTTGACGGAGAGGTGGCTCTGCGTCTACAGGTGGCAGTGTTGTTATTAAAGCGCTGGATTAGGGTTTTTTTTGGCAGATGAAATAGTAAAGAGTTCAACTGAGGAAACTACACACAGAAAACTACAAGATCCTAACATCCAATCACTGAGACACAATCCTGTTAGCCTTTAAAATGTTAGTTCTTAATGACGTACATTATTTACATTCTCTGCAGTTTAGAGTACAAACTGTGAAGATTTTGATTTACAGAAATGGTGATGATATCATTCAGATGATGTCAACGCATAACTGTTTGGGGAATGTCTGTGCTTTTTTTTATATACAGTGACTTTTTTGTTGAAACAGGATAGTTGTAATAGTTTGCATAAGAAAAATAAAAACACCATCATGTGAGAAGAAAAGACGTGAAATGAAAATGAAAAAATAATGTAGTGCACATTTTTGTAAAGTAACCTTTTTCCAAGCAAAATCAAGGATTGTACAACTTGTCTCCTATTGTTTGACAGTAAATGCCCAAACGTCCTATATATAACCTTTGTTCTAGTTAGTAAAACAAATTTGAGGTCCTCAGTATTTTTCATGGTTATGCATTTACCATCACATCATTAGATATGAAGAAAAGGTTCCCTCTGGAGATACACTCGAGATACACTCTGGATGGTCTGCTGCTATTCTGATTCTGTGGAAACAGCGAGTGAAGTGTGAGAGCTAGAAAATGAGTCATGTTGAAAGAACCTGCACTTTCAAAATAAAAGGTCCTAGCACTGCTGAAGCAACCACCTGAACTCTGATAACAGAAGATATAGCTTCCTCAAATGATAGAAAAATCAGCTAATTTTTTTTTTTTAAATCTGATGCAGCTTTGCATGCCAAATTTAAACAATGTTTATGCAATAGCAGGAAATGCTTGTCGGGAACTGAGTGAATTGAATGTCAGAGTTACAGGTCAAGGGTCGGACATGTCCAGGAAGTCTTTCTCGGGTGGAGGTCCTCCGCGGTACCAGCTACAGGTTGTGTCGGAGCGACGGATGCAGGCGTACTGCCGAGCCTGCTCCCCATTTAAGCTGTTATCAAGCAGCCAGTCAGTCCACAAGCACTCGTCGTCTCCTGTAGACGCACACGGCACCGTGTAACAGGTGTTGATCTGAGGAGAGAAGAATTTCTTATTGTTAAGAAAAGAAGCTGTTTCTGTCATCCCTCTCATTTAGTGTGAATAGAGAGAAAAACATTCCAAGACACAAAAATGTTTTGTATAAATGAGAGAAAGATTTTTCCATCATGAGAGAGGAGATAACTGCTCTTTGTTTCTTGAGGCATCTCAGAGAAAAAGAGATGAGAGGAAAAAGGATAAATATGTATGAATAGTTAATGATGAGTCTTTACTCACTCTGCACTCACAGCCCATCTGGTATCTGTAGTTGAGATTCTTCTTCTGTGACAGTGACAAGTTGTCCCAGGACTCTACCAGGTCACACTGGCCAATAGAAATTCTTCCATCACTCCACATACTTCCTGTTCAATAAAATAACATCATACATGAGAGTTTAATTTGGAAACTATGCTTTGTTCAACTTTAACAATGTCGCAATGGAAAATAGCTAAAACGCTTTTTTAGCTAAAAAGATTCCGGCTGATGATAATAAGTACAAATGTGACAAATAATGCAAGGTTTATAACCCATTTGTGTCTTAATACAAATAGCCTTTTACATTTTAAGAAATACACAAATCTACTCCATGAAAGTTAGATACTACTCTGGTGTCTGTATGGTTAGCTTAGCATAACACAAAAACTTGAAGGTTGGTATGCTGATTTTGTTACCTTTCAACAGAGCTGGGCTTGTTGCATTCCCCTAATTGTAGTATCCAAGCTAAGCTAAGCTAAGCTAAGCTAAGTGCAACCTGACCATAGCCTTATTTCTACAGTACAGATAGTTGTAAGAATGTTTTAAACATCCATAAAGGTCAAACTTTCCCTTGAAAAAAGAGGTTGTTCAGGGAGAAACAATATTCTGTCACTATCGCTTGACTATCGCAACCAGCCAGCCATTTATTGAGCCATTTCTTACAGAAATATGCACTCTCATGCTTTTTCTTTGTGAAAGAGCAACATAAAAAGTGACCATTGTGTACTTCACCTGAGAGCAGGTACCCTGCTTTATTGTTGGAGTCCAGTTTGACTCCACACAGAGACGAGAAGACTGGAGTGTACACATACTGGATATCCTTGGCCTTGTTAAAACCTTTGAACATCTGTGGGGGGAAAAACAGAGAAAAGAGTGGAGATCAGACCTTCTGTAAGTTAAAAACAGTGTATTGTATATTTGGCAGCAATATAAGAAGTAGGGAAGCAAAGCAACGCATTACAGCAGGCCCATATTCCTTAGCCATGGCTGTAAATATGAATTATTAAGCAGTAAGTTAGATTAAGAGAAGCCTATATATTCCTTGCATTTATCAGCAGCCGATGTTTGCTGTCATTTGGGCTGTTAGGACCCGACTTATGTTTGGACTCTAACACATTTTAGAAATCTCAGAGGTCTGGACTGATTTTTATTTCTGTCAATCAGAATTTCACCGGTTCTGTGAATAGATAATTTGTATTCAGTGTCCATAATATACACCACTATAACACCCAGCAGTGTGAAGAGTTAAAGTGATGAGTGTCTGTCTACATCAGCAGCAGCAGCTGCTCCTGCTGTCCAGAGATCTCACCTTGATCATTTTGATTTCGTATTGAATCATCTTCATGTAAGGTGAGGAGCTGTTGCTAGGCGACACAATCTTCTCACCGGAGATCTTTGCCCTTATCACTGTCAGAAGAGGGGGAAAAAAAACAGGAAGAGTAGAGGATTAAGAGTCATTAACCTGCCAAATAATGCAAGAAGCCCAATAAGTTTGTGATTTTAATGCCAGAGACGATAGACAACAATCTGAATTATTAATGTTTATGATTTGTAAGTTAGATGATCTGTAAGTTAGAAGTTTTTTTCTTTTATAGACAGATAAATAGAAGGAGTGTTTTGTTTCTTCCTGTCCCTCCTTTCTCCTCACACAGATAGTGCAGCAGTCCCTCTCAGCAGTAGTGATACCGGATGTGTCCCTGCTCTCCTCTGGGAGGGAAATCAAAACCCACATGGAATAACAAGTAGCGCTCTGCTTACACACTCCCCGTGACTGTCTCTACACACACACAATTATGTATAGGGTCTATACTACACACACACACACACATTCACTCCAAACCCTGTCTGGCACAGAGGTGACTTCACATTATTTAATCCCATATTGTAAATGGAGTTGGAGGGTGAATTGTAACACGATAATGGCTCCGTGGGTTTAAACAGGAAGGTAGCAGTAGATGTAATTTAACAACCTCTAATTTGTAGATAAAATACTTATTAAGG